TTATTTGTGATTTGTTTTCATATGTATGCATTCTGTTTTTTTATGTATTTTTCAAAAATTCGAGCATGTTAATCGATTAACCATATGGGTTAACCGATTAACACTGTTGAATTTTCAATTCTGATTAAATTTTTTAATGTGTTAACCGATTAACCTATATGGTTAACCGATTAACACTGTTAATTTTTCTAAAAAATCAGAAACGAAAATTAATTAAATTTTTGAAAATTTTATATTTTTAATATATTTTTTTGTGTGGTCCATATTTTTTTTTAGAGAATATGCTGCTGCTGTTGTTTTTATTGCTTTGCTTTCTAGTCTTAAGTTTTTATGCTTTCATTTGAACTATGTTTTATTGTAACAAGTACAATTTCTATTTGCTGCATTTTATATGTACTACTGTTTGTGCTTTGTGTTTACTTGGCTTTGCATGTGCTTATTACTATATATGCTGCTATCTTGTGATTTCTTTGAAAGCTCTTCCTTTTTGCTGATGTCAAAGGGGGAGAAGAGCTTGGTTCTGTTAATGTCTCTCTGTGTGCAGATTTTTTTTCCTCTGTTAAGATAGGGGGAGTTGCTAGACATAGGGGGAGAACCAGATCAAGAACCAAGAGATATCGCACAACATTTTTGATTGCCATCATCAAAAAGGGGGAGAATGTAGAAGCATGCTTCAGTCTCAAGTTTTGATGATGTCAATACTACTCAAGGTCATCTCTTGATTGCAAAAAGACAAGCTGTTCAAAGTTATCAAGATCAAGTCAACCTATCTTTCAAGTCAAGCTACATATGGAACTATGATTCTTCCAGACTTGGCTGCATTACTGGTCTATCAAATCCACCCTTATAATTTGATATACAAGTGTTCAAAAACATCAATCATTTTTGCATAATACATAAGCATGTTTTTTTGAAACCTTAAAAATGGTATAACATTATTTTTAAAAAGCATTTTTCTGAAAATTAGCAGTGTTAACCGATTAACCATATAGGTTAACCGGTTAACCAATTTGAATTTTGAATTTTCTGGGCTAACGTACCAGTGTTAACCGATTAACCATATGGGTTAACCGATTAACACTGAACGTGCAGTGAAAAATTGCTTTGTTTCAAGTTCAAAAATTATTTAAAAATTTATACCATTTCATATTTTTTGATGACTACTCATTGTACCTTTTTGAAAGGGTATTTTACTCATAAATTCTGAGTTTTTCAATCTTGAAAAATACCCATATAGAACATAACACAAAGAACTTTTCAATCTCCAAACACTTTCTACATTCATTTTCAAATTGTCTTAGAATCAAATTCACCATTTTCAAAAACTTTCATTAAGTGTTCATATGTGCATAAATTTCATATTCATCCTTGAACACTTGTATTGAAAATTGTAAGAGTGAATTCTGATCATTTGGAGAAGATCAACTTTGATATCATTACTCTCAAATCAAAATCTTTACAAACTTGTGTATATTGACTTGTGATCCAGGATTGTTGGACACAAGGGTGAGTGTTTACAAGAGGATTGTTCTTGTACACTTGTTAGTTTTATTGTTTGATAGTAGGCCTCACCGGTTGATGGTGTGATAGGTTGTACTTTATTAAACAATAGTGAAAATTCTCTTTCATGTTGAAAGGGGAGTGGAGTACTCTCGGATTGTGAGGGGAACCACTATAAATCCTGGTGTCCATTGTTCTTTTATCTTTCTTCTTCTGCTTTCATAACCAAAAACACAAACCAATGATATTTCAGAATACCATAAAAACCGGAAAAATTTCAAAAGTCCTAATTCACCCCCCCTCTTAGGCATACTCTGTTCTTACAAAAAACACAAAAACAAACTTGAAACCTTTTTCCTTCGGGATTAATTTCAAACCATTTTCGTAAAAAGAGTGTTGTTAAGCTTTAGTTCTACCGCAAACAGGCATCGCCCCTAACTGCTGGAACGAGAGTTTAACCCTACTCGGTTAAAACAGTTGAACCAACCGGTGTTCTTGTTAGCCCGAACTATGTTTTCTCTGATTTCTCATACCAGATGAGAATACGTAGGCACAAGACGCGATGTCTTGGCGAGTAACCTTCCCCCACCTTTCACCCGTAGTTAGCCGAACTACGTTGACTCTGACTTTCCCATTGCACGAGGGAATACGTAGGCACAGAGCGGCGATACTCTGCCGAGTCTCTTTTCTTTTCTTTTTGTCCTGTGAGCCTGTAGCGTAGATAGATTAAACACACCCTTAGATAAACAACAAGCATGGATCCTGTCGAGTACGACGAACGTGAGGGGTGCTAATACCTTCCCCTTGCGTAACCGACTCCCGAACCCGAGACATGGTTGCGATGACATGTCTTTTCCTTTTTCGTTAGGTTTTTCCGATCGTTTCCTTTCCCTCTCTTTGGGATAAATAACGAAAGGTGACGACTCTTCTGTATTCCGCCGGGTGTTTTTCGCAGTTGCGACAATGAGAGATAACCATTATGGTTTCGTTATATGCACACTCCTTTTGAAATTTAAACACCCGGTCAAGTCAACTGAAGACTACCTTGCCCCAAGGTTAAAATGTGAGGATTTTTTCATTGAGAAAAGAAACTCCTACTTCAAGGCTCAAAGGGGGCTCAAAGGGGTTAACAAGGATTAACTTCCTTATATCTCAAGTATTTAGGAATTTGAACAAGAAGTTGGTATTGCAAATGCAAAAAACATTTCTTTTATAGCAAATGCGAATGGATTACTTCAAGATAAACATACTCATTGCATTATGATTAATATTCAAAATCAAACAAGTTCTTACATGCAAATAAAGCATTAACAATCATGAAAGATTACAAATAAAATTGCAGTAATGAACTAATGATCTAAAAAGACTATCTCAGTCTGAGTCTGAAAGAACATCCTTGTTGCTTATGATAACTTTCAAGTGACAGTATTGACCTGCACATTAGGTCCCTTGTCTTCAAAATTTAAGAATATATACCACTCTTTACTAGCCTTTTCAGCCTTTAAAGGAATACAATGTTCAATGTCATGACCGGGTGTGCCTTAGTGATATGCACAAAAAAGATCAGGCTTATACCACCATAGAAGTTTCTTTGAAATAGCTGGCGGAGTCCTAGTCTGAACCAAATTCTTTTGTATAAAAGTGGGGTATGATTTTACATATGACACCGGAGTTCTAAGCGTGTCTCATTCTGAATGATCTACCGAGTGCGGATTGGCAGAAAGTACAACTCGTCTATTTTTTGGCTACCCTCTATACTCAATAGTCTGGCTAAAAATCTTCAATTGGCTGAACATTTCATCTGCCTTGCATACTTCTGCCGTAACTGATTTTAAACAGTTCACAGGATTGGTGTGTAAAAGTACACTATCGGATAATAGATTCTCTGTCATTTGATTTGTGTGTATTTAGAGCATGTGAAAGAGGCGTAATGATAAGATATTCATAAACTCAAACAGATGATATTCAAAAACTCAAAAAGATCGCAGGACGATTTGGGCAAAGAAATTCAAGTGATAGCTTGGAAGTGGATAAAGGCTAAAGCGAAGAGCTTCAACTATTTCTTAAGCCAATGGATCTTGAATCTGATGGATTGCTTCTGATTTTTTGTGCAACACGTAAAGGTACTCAGGTGTTGTGTTGTCATTTTGTATTGGAGTTGGCACAGTTTATGCCTTTAATTAATCAATTTTTTTTTTTGTTGAAGTTTTCAAATAAATTGAATTTTTAGGAAAGGTTAATTAAGTTCACTCAGATGCATGTTCCCCCCGTAGGGTTCTCACATTTCTCGGCCCTACACAACCGAATTTCGCGCCTTGTTTCTTTTTCTCCGGCTCTCTCATTCCCCTCGCCGGAGCATTCTCTCCGCCGTTCCTCGCTGACGCAACCCTTATTATTGCATCCGAATTCAAATATCATCATCAATAATTAAATCGATCTGTAAGTTTATTTCATGAAACAACTAATCAAAATCGACTAGTTTTATAGATTATTTGATTTCGCTGTTGTTCGAGCAGCATTCCAACAATTGATCTGTAATTCGTTATGAACCAATTTGTTTACGTAATAATTTGAGTGAATTGTTCTGGAAATCGACTATTAGCACATTATTGGGTTTCTTTATTTGTTCATGAAAAATTGGAAGATTTGCATTACTGTTTGTTCCTATTTCTCGAGAAGATTAGGGTTTATTCTATGTGTTGTATGGTACTACTTCTCGTACTAGTGTTTATTTGCTTTGTGAATTTTTCTGGATCATTTTATAGTGCAGTGTCAGCTTTTTGTGAAATTTTTGTATTTTGTGAAGCCCCCTTTCGTAAGGTTGTTTTGATTTGAAATTGTTAGTATGAAATGAAAAAATGGTGATCTCTCATTTGGATGTTAGTGTAAAACTGTTTTACACGGACAATGTATATCCATTCAACTCTTATATTTTGGTTCATGTGTTTCAGCATGTGACTCACTGGTTCAATGAGTTACTCATTGGTTTGACAGGTGATAATATATAGATTGAGTCGACGATGTTGGTTTTGATTTTGTTTCAGCTTCCGTCTCCTTTCGCTACCACCTGAAATTGACCTTCGAGTTCTGCGCTATATTCTAATCACCATCGTTCTTCATTAGTTGGTGATTGTAGTCCACCATTACTCAAAGCTACCGTTGTTAATTGCCCGTGATTCAACTATGAAGATTAAACAGTCCCTGCTCCTCAAAACCTGGATTGATATTTGTTGAGTACACGTGCGTGCATTCGTGGAAGTTCCCTATATTCAAGGTAGAGTAAAATATCAGTTACTTTGTTTTTCATTTCAATAGAAATTAATATTCTACCTTTGGATGGATTGGACCAATGAGCATGTAATATCTTTTATGTGCATTTTTGCATCAAAGTCAAGTCATTGTGCAATTGAAGAATTGCTTAAATATTTGAACAATGATGTGTGGAAATATACAGAGCTTTACAATGCATCTAATTGTCTTCATAGGAACTTGCTGTAAAAATGGACTCCATTCCCATTGATGCGTTTGGTAGACGTACGCATAAGCTTTCTAAGAGGCAAAAATCCAACGAGGGTCGAGACTTGACAAGCAACCTACCTGACCACGTTATTGGCCACATTCTTTCTTTTCTTCCGACTAAGGAAGCAATTCATACCAGTATTTTGTCAAAGAGGTGGATATATCTCGGGACATTTATCACCGGACTAAATTTTGATGACAGAGACTTTTATTATTCTTCCCACACAATAAGGAAAAAAAAGTTTGTAGACTTTGTAGATAGGGCACTACTTTATTGGAATAATGGAGGCTTCCAAAGTGTTTCTCTTGCATTGTTAGAGACATACGATTCTTCTTGTATTAAGAAGTGGATATCTGTGGTTTTAAATTTGAGAATCAAAAAGCTTTGTGTCAATCTGCAGAATGAATTCATAGCTTCCTCTGATGCCTTTTATAAATGCAAGTTCTTAGAGGAATTGGTGCTGAATAGGTTTGCCATCACAGTTTCTTCCTTTGTTTGTCTGTCATCCCTGACGATCTTGAAGTTGTCTAGAACTAAAATTACCTGTGATTCCTCTAATGAGTCCGAAACGTTGGCACTTAATTTCCCAGCTCTCAGAAAGTATGAGACATTAGATTGCACTTGGTCAGGTGTGAAGAGTGTCACTTTACAAGTCCCTCTACTTGAAGTGGTTTCAATAAAGTATACTTCTGTCTCTCGTGATTCACATGTTGAAATTAAGTTTTATGCTTCACAGCTTACAAAATTTTGTTATTCTGGTTTTGTATCGGATACCATTTTGTTAGACACAGACAGTTTAGCATCTGCTGATATTAGTCTATATAATAATGAGAAGAGTGTGCAAGAAATTGAGATGTTTGTTTGTAAACTTCTCAGTATTAATCCAGAAAGTCTAAAGCTGTGTGTTTGCATTAAGCAGGTATGTTTTCTACTTTTCTTGCTTCAGCCTTTGTTTTCACATAGGATAAGGTTATGAGCATGCATTTGATCCTTTTCTAGTTAAGAACTGTGTAATTTTTCATTAAATTTACTGTCTTATAGATATAGTCTCAATATGCTGTCCTAACATGAACAATTGTACAATTTTGTAGTTCGTCCTTGCAGGACCGAAACATCATTTTACAGATATTCCTCCATTTGGAATGTTGAGTTATCTAGAACTAAACTTTGTTGCCTGCGAATATTTGTTAAGCATACTCCTAAAGACACCCTGTCTGAAGACTCTAGTTTTAAAGGTTTGTCATTGTTAATTTTTAAATTTTAAAAAGAACTTAATGTATAAGGTTTTTTGGTTTCGAAATTTCTACTTTTCTTTTTGCGATCTCCAGGTGATATATTTTGATGGAATGCTGATGGATTTTGCAACTGTGCCTCATTGTTTGCTACATACTCTTAAAGTGCTGAAGTTTAAAAAATCTGTTGGTCATGTGCGTGGGTTAAGTATTGCCAAATATATTTTAGAAAATGGTCAGGTATTGGAGAGGATTAATTTTTGCCTCTGTTCCAAGGAAGCTCAAGAGACGGTACTTTCATTTAAGAAAAGTTCTAGTTCAGTGATTTTAGAATTTTCGTCTGAGCTGTAAAAAAAAATCATCCGGGGAAGCATTTTTTTAAGATCGGTAAAAAAGGAATACAATTTTATTGGGAGAATGTATGTAATTGCTTCATGGAGTTTTATTAATCTAATTTTGCATAAGTTCCATTTTTGCTTAACTTTTTGCTTAATACTATCCCTATTTTCTGTCTTTTAAAAAATGTATGGAAAGGTTTGGAGGAAAATAGTTAAGATTCAAAGGTGGTTTTTGTTGGAGGAGTTAAGGGTGATTTTAAAATCCTTTGAATCAGTTGGGTTGGTGTGTGTAAGCCTAAGAGTAAAGGTGGCTTGGAGGTTAGAAATCTACGTCTAGTCAACTTGGCTCTTTTGGCTAAGTGGAGGTGGTGTCTTATTTAGGATGTCTCTGGTCTTTGGAATGATATCTTGATCGCCTGTTATGTTGCCTGCCATTGTCTTTTCATTGAGAGGTTGTAGACAGACTTCTTGAATTCCTCCTCCGGGTGGAAGGGTGTTTCGAATTCCGTTTTTGGTTCTAAACAGAAAGGCCCTTTGGACTAGTTTGTGGATGGTATCATTAGGAAAGGTTGGATAAAGATTTTAGACTTCTTATTGGTTTGACCATTGAATTTGGAGTATACCCCTTAAAGACATGTTTTGTATATTGTTTATGATCACTGATTATCCTGAGGAGAGTGTGAGAGAGGTAGGGAGATGGGTAGATGATACCTTCATTTGGGACTTCAAGTGGAGAAGACATTTCTTCGTTCTTGAGGAATCAGTTGTTGTCGAACTCCTCTTGACATTTGAGGGCAATAGAGATAAATTGGGTTGGAAGCTTGCTACGGACGATACTTTCTCGGTGTCCTATGCTTATCATTCTCTTTTGGCCTCTTCAACTTTTTCATGCTAACCTTCCTCCATAAACAATTTGTCTCTCCTTTTTATTTGGAGTAGTTAGACACCGTCTAAGGTGTTTGTTTTATCTTGGCAGCTTCTTGATAGATTTTTTTATAGAGAATTTATTCTAGAGAAAGGTAATTTTGACCCTGTTCTTATCTTGTATCCTATTTTTGATGTTTTTGTTGAGTCGACTTCACACTTGTTGTAACTTGCGACTTCTTAGTTAATAGTGTCTGGTATAGGATTTTCATTTGGTTAGGGGTGGCAACCTGTTCATCTTAAGGACCCTAGTCTTCTCTTTGACAATTTCCTTTCTTCATGTGCTTCTTAAGGACCCCAGTCTTCTCTTTGACAGTTTTCTTTCTTCATGTGGTATGACGAAGTCTAAAGGGTTTTTTCTATGATCTAACATGTTCTCTTTGACAGTTTCCTTTCTTCATGTTCTACTAAAGGACCCTAGTCTTCTCTTTGACAGTTTCCTTTCTTCATGTGGTATGACAAAGTCTAAAGGATTTTTTCTATGATCTAGCACGTTGTGGTCTGAACTATTTGGAGGATCCGAAATGAGATTGTGTTTTTTATTCTTCAATAAATGTGAAAGAAATGGAGGAGAAAAATATTTTATTTTGGCTTGAAAATGATTTTTAGAAAGATCAACGAAGGACTTTTACACCTTCACATATTTTGAGACTTCAATCAGATTGAGATTGTATATTTCTTTTCTTCTTTCTTGGTGGTCTTGATTCAGTGTTGGTGGTTTGGTTGAGATATAGTTTTTCCTCTTTTAGGGTACTGTTCCTCGAAGATGGCTTATCTCAAGTTGACTTGTGGTTGCATATTTGTTTTTGCTTTTGTAGCTGCATTTTTCTTTTGTTTTGTTTTAGCTTTTGGTACATATTGAGCCTATTGCCCGGTGTTTCTACTTGGTTTAGAATTTTAACCCATTATTAATATTAATATTATTTTTTCTTTAAGAAAAGTAGGTAAAATAGGTAAAGTGTATGTATATGTATAAAAATTGAAAAAACATTAATTTAGTATATTTAATCTTAAGACTAGAGATAAATATATATTTTTTAATAGATGAATTGATAATAATCACTAAACACTCACACATTATAAATTTATTTTAAATTTATATTAGTGACACATTAACTACACATATTTCTTGCATTTGCATATTCGACACATTTATTTTAATAATTGATTAATAAATAATTGTTTAAATTGTATAAATAACATTTAATTGTGTCAAAAAGAACATTTAATTTATACATTGCAATAAAATCAATTTAAACTAATTGATTAATGTGCATTCTTTACATATTTTCATGTGACACATTATAGTAAAAATATTTTAAACTATTTTTTCAAAGGACCCTTATTTTTTTTTACGTGTTTTGATAGTGACATATTTTTCTGATATATTTTGATGTGGTTGCATCGTATGTAGCAATTACGTTGCAATACAAAAATTTTAAATTATTTAATTAGTGAATTATGTATAGATTAGTTTTGTTAAATATAGTCGGTCTCAAATTCGAATAAAAGGAGAGTTGTGTTAGTAAATTTTGTCAAATCTCTATAACATGGTACAACTACAAAATAATATGAATGCTAGGTCGTTGCTCGTAAGCAATGTGTTAATGGCTCGAGTACAGTGTCAAAAAAGCAAAGGTCGCTGCATCGCCGCCTGAATGTAGTGAAAAATAAGTAAGGGTTCCCACATTTTCGTGAACGGGTGTGGGTAAAGAAGCTAGTTTATGAGAGGAGAATTTGTTTTGGGTCATGGAAAATAGACACACTTACGAGAAAATCTATGGAAATAGTGGATGTTATGGTGACGAGGAAGATCAATTTTATGCGTCGATAAGAAATTAAGTGGATGTGTGAAAAGCGAAAGAATTAGACAACTCGAAATTTAAGCTTTGACACATTGAAAAAGTTAGATCGAAAAATGGTGTGGAAATTTTTGTCGACAAGGAGTGAAAGAAGGATATTGTGGACGTGAATAGAATAAGGAGATCGAATCATAGCCTTGAAATTTGTAGTGGAACAAGACACCTTTGATGTTATTAGTGCTTACACACCTCAGGTTGGGTTAGCATAACACCTCAAGGTAAAACTTTGGGAGGATTTAGAAGGTTCACTTCAGGATATACCCCAAGGAGAGAAGCTTTTTCTAGGAGGGAATCTCAATGGACATGTAAGTATCGTATCAAGAGGTTTTGAGACGTGCATGGGGTTTGGCATAGAGGACGTGAATGCGGAGGGTAACTCCAAGATGCCGAGTTTGGATCTTACTATAGAAAATACATGGTTTAGAAAAAGAGATGAATATCTTATCAAATATAAAAGTGGGAGGGACATGTTCTCAGATAGAATTTTTTCTTATCATGAGGTTCTATAGGAAGATTCACTTGGACTTTAAAGTTATCCCAGAAGAGAGCTTGACCATCCAACATAGAGTTTTGGTTATGGATGTAAGAATTAAGAGGAGAACAAAGAGAAGAAGTCACATGGTAGCGCCAAAGATCAAGTTGTGGTATTTGAAGGGTGAAAAACAATAAATTTTCCAACACAAGATCTTGGAGGGAGAGTTTGGACAACCACAAGAAAGTGCAAATGATATGTGGAACAGGATGACCCATGAGATTAAAAAAATGGCTAAAGAGACGTTGGGTGAATCAAGAGGTTTTGGACCTTGGGGTAAAAAATCGTGGTGGTGGAATAAAAGTGTCCAAAGTAAAGTTAGAGTGAAAAAGGATTGTTTTAAAGTTTGTTCTAGGTGTAAAAATGCTGAAACGTGGGAAATGAGACCAAGAAGGCAGTGGCTGAAGAAAGAACCCAAGATTTTGATGGATTATACCAATCTCTAGGAACCAATGAGGGACAAAAAATCTATATATAGGCTTGCTAAGGGAAGAGAAAGAAAAACTAGAGATTTGGATCAAGTGAAATGTGTTAAAGATGAAGAAGGCAAGATCTTAGTTCAAGAAAAAGATATAAAGGATAGGTGGAAGACATATTTCTACAACATATTTAATGAAGGATATGATATCAGACCAGACTCTACCAGACTCGACATTAGAGAAATTGATAAAAACTATAATTTCTACTGTCAGATCTAAAAACAGGAGGTAAAGGAAGCGTTGAAAAGAATGATAAACAGTAAGGCGGATGGACCAGACAACATACCTATTGAGTGGCTCACCAAACTCTTTAATAAAATTATGAGGTCAAAGAGCATGTCGGAGGAATGGAGAAGAATCACCTTAGTTTTAACCTATAAGAACAAGGGGGATATAGAAATTTATGCAAATTATAGGGGGGTTAAGCTTATTCGTCATACCATAAAGTTATGAGAAAGAGTGACTGAACGAAGATTAAGAAAATAGACTCAAGTCTTTGAGAATCAATTTGGTTTTATGGCTGAAAGGTCGACTGTGGAAACAATTTATCTATTACGGCGTGTGATGGAGTTGTAAGAACAGAGTATGCCTAAGAGGGGGGGGGGGGTGAATTAGGACTTATGAAATTTTTCCGGTTTTTATATGGTTCTTGGAAATATACTGGATGGTGTTCTTGGTTATGGGAAGCAGTAAATCAACAGAAAGAAAAAAGACACAGGATTTATAGTGGTTCCCCTCACAATCCGAGAGTACTCCACTCCCCTTTCAACATGAAAGAGAATTTTCACTATTGTTTAAAACAGTACAACCTATCACACCAACAACCGGTGAGGCCTACTATCAAACAATAAAACTCACAAGTGTACAAGAATAATCCTCTTGTAAACACTCACCCTTGTGTCCAACAATCCTGGATCACAAGTCAAAATACAAAATGATTGTAATGAATTTGGATTGAGTATAATTGTCAAAGTGATCTTCTCCAATGAATCAAAGTTCACTCTTTGTAATTTTTCAATACAAGTGTTCAATGAATGTGAAACTTTCAATGCAAGTATGAACACTTTTGAAAAATGAATTTGATTCTAAGACAATTTTAAAAATGAGTATTGGTTTTTTTGTTGGTGTCATTTTCAAAATGAAAAACTCAGAATTTATATGAGTAAAATAACCTTTCACAAAAGGTATGATTTTAAAAGATTCAAACCATGAAAAG